TTTGGGATTGCAGGACATCACGATGGGGAAAGGGCAGGAACATGGATGTGAAACAGCTGCTCATGCTACCTTCACAGTCACGAAGCAGAGAGAGATGAATAGCCAGCATCCGGCTCACTTTTTCATTTTTTTATTGTCTAGGGACCATATCCCAAAACATGGTGCCACCCATAGGAAGGTTAGGTCTTCCCATTTAAATTAATCCAGTTTACAGGCTTCTTCACATGAATGCTGAGAAGAATCCATGGATCCTAAATCTCATCAAGTTGATAGTCACGATTAACCATCATGGAGACTTTCATCGAGGAGCCGTTTTAGTGCCTTTAACTAACTCAGTTCTAACCTGGGGATTTTCTTTCCTTGGCTCTGCCTCTTTTATTGCAGTTCTGTGCTTTAGTAAGCAGCCCAAACACTAAGCAGATGTCCGGGGAACATCCTCTGCTCATGTCTGTCTGTCTTTCATGCTTACCCCAGTGTGTTGGAAATCAACTTGTTTAATCTTAGCATTTCTTGAAGCACCTGTCATTTTTCATGACCCCTGCCACTTTTGTCACAATCAGTCCATCCATTCATCTATTCCTTGACACAAACTGCATTTGAAATCATGTGACCTTAGCTCCCCCGTGTAGTCCGGCTTTCAAGGCCCTCTCCAGACTGTCCCTGCTCCCCTCTCCCTCTACTCTTCCTTCTGCCTCTCTTCCTGCATGCCCCCTTCCTCTTCCACTTCCTCTCGTTGTTCTTGTCTTTCTCCTGGTTGCTCCAACCTCAAAATGGTATTTAAATCTTAATCTCAGATCCTGAGCTTCCAGTTAACTTAATAATTTTTTAGAGTTCACAAAGTTCTAGGATTTTAAAATTAAAAAACATTGTTTTAAGATAATCTACCCACAACTCTGTATTATTTTATATTCTTTTTTCACTCAAAATTGCTATTCATGGCATGGCTAATTTTTTAAAAATATGTGTGCGTGAGCCCAGTAGGACAATGAGTCACAAGGCTTAGTCACTATTGATAGCTCATAAAATAATCAGTCTTACCTGAAAGAGTTCTCTAAGTCATAAGGATATATTTTGTTCTGATCCTACTCAATTTACTTTAGGATAGGAAAGAGGATAAGCTGCTGAAAACACAAATCAAATTGAAGTGGGGAATGAGAAGGAGGAAAGAGAAAAATAATTGCTAATACTGCTGGCTTCTGTGGATAATTTAGCTGCTTTAAGTATTAAGTAATCTTTTATATTGATCATAACTATTTCCTGAATATAGGAAGAACTATTTTCATTCCAAATTTATAACATTTTTAGAAGTTTAATTATCATACTTGAAGGTCAAATGGTGCTTTATTGCAGTAAAATACAAAAAGTAATAAAGAAATTATTCCTGGGGAGATGAAAGTCTCGGTTCATAGCTCATTAAATACTAACTTCACAGACCATGTCTAATTTGTCATATTTAGCTTTAGAAATTTAATACATTAGAATTTCAAATTAGGTAAAAGGATACATGAGACAAAACTACCTAGGGCCTTTGAATTCCAAAATGATTTAGGAGGTAAAGTTCTGATGCCTGATGTGTGTGCCTGGGTGAGAGAGAGAGAGGGGAGTGAGGGGAGGGGGAGGGGGAGAGGAAGGAGGAGGGGAGGGGAAGAAAGAGAGACAGAGAGACAGAGAGAGAGAGAGAGAGAGAGAGAGAGAGAGAGAGAGGAGAGACAGAGAGAAAGAGAGAGACAGAGAGAGAAAGAGACAGAGAGAGAGAGACAGAGAGAGAGAGAGACAGAGAAACAGATTGCTTACCTGATTCAAAGATGGTATTAAGCACCCAGTGATATCAACAGTCAGCTCAACTTCAGAATCAACAGTCAGCTCAACTTCAGACATCTCCTTTCTTCTCGATGTATTGAAGTCTTCATTTTACTGAATATTCTGCTCAACAAATGGGCTGAAATTTATTAGTGCTTTGGAGACACATGCTGACTTAAAAGCTTTCTTTAAAATAAACCTCTGAAGAGTAACACAGTCCTCAAAATAGGACTAAGTATAATCTTGTTTTCCTAGCATGTCTAGGCTCCTGTGATTGGGTGGGATTCTGGTAGGCCCAAGCTTTAAAAGAGTATAAACAGATTTCAAGTTTTGATTTCCGCTGCATTGAGCGACTTAGTTTTTGTGCCCACTTTTTGAGTAGTAGTGATTCCCTAATAGATGCCCAGTACAGAGCTCCTTCCTGACTCTAATTCAGCCTCGTCCAGTGGAAATATAATGTGAGCCTTATGTAATTTTAAATCCTATACTGCCCACATATAAGAAACAAAAGTAAGATAGTTAATATGTCTGCTTAACACAGATTATATAAAATATTAAACATTTCAATATAATATAGACATTATAAAATGATTAGTAAGATATTTAACATTATTTTTTCTTGTGCTAAGACTTGAAAATCTGATATACATTTAATATGTGAAGTGCATTTAACTATTAGAATATCTTGCTTATTTAATATTTTATAACTTTTCAGTTAAAAGTAGCATCACAGGCCTGATTAGCCTAAAATTCTTAAAATTCTTCAAAAACTGGACTAAATGTTAAAAAAGCTCATTTTCCTTTATATTCACATATTGACAAAATTTGTTCATGTTCTCTTTTAAGAAAATCCCGCCAGGCAGTGGTGGCGCACGCCTTTAATCCTAGCACTTGGGAGGCAGAGGCAGGTGGATTTCTGAGTTTGAGGCCAACCTGGTCTACCGAGTGAGTTCAAGGACATCCAGGACTACACAGAGAAATCCTGTCTCGAAAAACCAAAAAACCAAAAAAAAAAAAAAAAGTTGATCTCATGTTGAAGCAAAGCATGTGTGTATTTCAAAACTATGTACAAATGTTTTTTTTTTAATTTTTACCAACCTAGTATTGTTAATATGTAACTTACAGGGATAGTACATGAGCTGAAAAACAATGTGACAAGAAGAAGCTAGGATTTTTTTTTCTAAGGTTTTGTGACAATTTAGCTAACACTAGAAAGTACAAGTTAAAATCCAACATTGATTCAGATAAGGAAATCTGTACAGTCTATGTTTCTAGTTCATTTTATTTCTGTGCATGTGTGCGTGTGTGTGTGTGCGTGTGTGTGTGTGTGTGGTATATACATGTATGTGGAAGCCAGAGGCCAGCAGTAGCTGTCTGGCTTCATTACTTGTCTCCTTATTTTTAAGATACAGTCTCTCACTGAAGCTGGAACTCACTGGTTCAGCTGCACTGGCTGTGCAGTACCCTGGACCTCCCCATCTCCCTCCTCCATTGCTGGGGTTTTAGGTGTGCACCACCACACTGAGCTTTTGATATGGCTGCTGGGGAGCCTTACTCAGAGCCTCAAGCTTGTTCAGCAAGTGCCTTACCCACTGAGTTATCTTCCTAGCCTGATATATTTCTGGGTCTGAAGTTTTTAAACTCGAGCCTGGTATCATAGCAGATAACTGTAATCCCAATATTTGGAACTTGAGGCAGGAAGATTGCTATAAATTTGAGGGCAGAGTGAGCTACATAGTGAACACCAGAAACCAATTCAGTTTCAACCCTGATATTTCTGCTCCCTGGAGACTTTCTGCTCAGCCTGTGCAGACATGGTATGACATGGGAGAACAGGCATCAGTGAGCCACAATCTGTCTTTGATTCTTGAATATTTGCCAAATATTACTTTTGGTTGAAGAAAACCTTCATTCAGAGTTAAAAATTCAGTGAGCCATTGTAGAACCTTTGCAACTTAACCAAGGAGCATCAGCACACAACACAAAACCTTGAGATATCTTATATTTTGTAAGAGTTTCACAAATGACTTTAATAAATTTAAACCTGGCACTTGCCATAGAATCTGCCTTTTAAAAACCCACAGGGATATCTTCAGTATGCATTATGTGTTAGTCTAGAGCAATAAGACACACCAGTCTTATTTTAAAATGCTATTAATTCTGAATTATTAGTCTGGCATAACTGAGCTACTGTCCATTGTGGGACAAATTGATTTTTATATCTAGTTGAAATTCTTCTTTAAAAGTTAAAAGGAGTTTTGAGTATGTGTCATGAAATCTTGCATTTAGGTAGTGAATTGAAATTCCCTCAAACTTGGGAATCATAGTGGGATAGGGAAGAAGTAACTTTCGGCAGTGTGAGCTGGGCAGGATCCTGTCTGTCCATTCTTGTTATTCTGCTTCCTTTGCATGCACGTTTGAACATACTGTCCTTCATGCTTCACTCATAGATGTTCAGAAGAACATTGTATACATAGGAGTAATCCCACAAATGTCCTTAGCTTCCACTCTCATAACCTTGTGTGCCCAAGCATTTCATCTCCCTGCCCTTCTCTGACATTTTTATCAAGTCATGCTGCACCTGAGGTCTTCCATAGTCCATCTTCTTCCCTCCTTTATGTCTGTTTGTCTTTCTATGCTAGCATTTCAAAACTCAGCAGGGAAAGTGTCTTCTCTGAATCCCTCTGCAGATACTCCTCATTTCCTAGTAAGCCTGTCTTAGAGTCCCCTTCTTCCCTCCCAGCCTTACCCCAACACCCTGTGAACACAGTACACTCCGTCACAGCCATGGCCTCTGACATTGACCACTTTTAGGGGGTGAGAGCACAGGATGGGCTTTTGTTTCCATTACCTGAATGAACAAAACAGCTAATTTCAAGAGATGGGTGCTCAGAAAGAGCTCAGCATATCCATTAACTGTTATGCTTCATATTGCAAGCTTACAGGATACTGTGCCTGTAAAATAAGGGGCTTTATTCATTGTAGGAAGAACAATACTTTTAAATATAATGAACAGTGAGTTGGCCATCTTATTTTAGGATGTTTGTTAGCATTTTCCCCTTAATCCTACAGAGTAAAAAGGCCCTTTCTGTGTGAGTTATCTCTTGTGAACTAAATTTCTCAGCTGCATTTGGGATTATTGGTCACTGGATTTTGCTCTTGTCACCAATTAGTCATTCTTTTCTCTTCTTATGTTCCAGCTCCCACAGAGGCCACTGCTTACTCACACCTTGGTAAGTGTGTAAGACTCTGATGCAATTAGCCTTCTACTTGGTCACCTGTCCAGCCCAGCCCACCCCTTCTCTGGGCCATGTGAGCCCATGCTGTAGAGAGGAAAGTCAGTGGTCTTGGTCTCTGACCTTTACTGAACTCAGATCCAGTCTGTGTTGGAGCAGAGAGCCTCAGGGAAGGCTCCTGCACTGCCCCACAGGAAGTCCATATGCCAGTGCCCTTACCTTAGAAGCCTGTTCAGTGTCACCTCATGTCTGAGCATCCAAAGGCAGAGTTTCCCCTGCACATCATATCAGAGTGCAGAGGCAGAAGCCATTGGTGTGGATAACTCGTGTCACTTTAAATTTAATATTTCTGCTCAGATCCTTAGGTTGAAAAAGAGAGACCATTCGATTATTTCTTCTAACATTAAAGGGAAGCTGTTAAGTGATTCCTTGCTTTAAAAAAAAAAATCTACCATTTGCCATCTGTGTGCTCTGCAACCCCAACTATTCAAAGGGTTATGGGATGGCTTAAAGCTGGAGTCTGGAACCAAGCTGCCTATGTTTATCTCATCTTGACCACTTGGCAGTGTTATGACACTGATGGAGGAACCTGTCTGTACCCACATGTAAAATAGAATCAGTAACAGTACCTACCTCCCTGGGCTGGCATGCAGATCAAGTGGAATTTCAAACTACATAGTAAAAGGTATGGTACTGTCTGGTGATAAATACAAAATGTGTTTATCCACTGAAGGGAAGTTGTCTCTACAGGACAAGGAACCATTAAGAGTTAAATTTACCATGTTGTGTCAGCAAAGACTTATTTTAAAAACCACTTTCCTACCTTCTGCAATTTAATAAAAGCAAAAGGAGTCATCTTAGCCTGCCTCAGTCTTTCCCAGTGTCTCTTACTATGCACCCTCAGATAGGTCCATTATTTGTCTCTTGGGCTTTTCCTTTCAACCTACAAACCCAATTAATTTATTTTTCTCTTTGGAAAAATCTGCCTTGAGAAGCTTTGCTTTTATGTAATGCTACAGCTCGGGGCTTCTCTTGGCAGATGAACATAACTGCTTAGAAGCATGCCTTCTGGCAGCCACGACAGGCTGGTGACCACAGTGGTGTAGCGGAGTCTTGGCCAAGCTGTGACCTGAGAGAGCTGTACCCTGTGGGCTCGTCAGACACCACATCCAAGTGCTTGGAGGAATCATTAAATCACACCCATGCTCAGAGTCTGTCACTGCATTCTCTCCAGTGTATAGCCAGTCTCTCCCCATTCTCATGCCTCAGGCTTTGGGGAGGAACAGCCAGTACTCCTAAGTGCATGCTGATTCGCTGGTTTCTGCGGTTCATTATCTGCTTGCCTGCTGGCATACCTAGTATTCACGGGTTGCGGACTGCCATAGGTGGGATGTCACCAAAGAGAATTTGAAATCATCTTCCCTGATACTTGGAAGAGATTTTAATTACCCAGCGAGTTCAGCGAGTTGTGTGACTGAGCCCCTATAAGCAGAAAATACCAACTTTGAAAACTACAAAAATTGTTAAGGGTCTCTGTTAGTCAAGTGACATGATTTTAATTTTTCTGAAAACTGACTAGAGCAAGCAAAATTGTAAGGAAAAGAGCCAGAGGATTCTTGTTACCCAAAACATCCAGGGCAAGCCTCAAGAAAAAAAAATCCAATGAGAATGGTTAAAGTAGTAATTAATTTCTCCTTTCATACATTGAGCACACTTACATTGAAGCTGGCCATGAAGTAATTTTTGTGTCTTTCTGCCGACCCTCTTTTCAGAGTAAATAAGCACTCTACAGCACATGAAGTTATTCTTTGCCATGCCCAAAAGACTAATGCTTAAAAACAGGTGTTGAATACAGCTGCACGGTAGTGGTACTGTATTTACCACCATGGCTGCCATCCTAGCAACCCCTGATACAGTCAACTTTAAGTTTACTCTATAGTTATATTTACAGATTAGTTATATATATAGAGAATATTTTTCCATGCAATTTTTATGGGAAACAAAGTTAGCAACTAGGACACACTAGATGAATAGTGAGAGAATGTGAGGAGTTCTAAAAATCAAGGCAGGGCAACAGGGTCGACAAGGAAGGGCAAGAGAAAATGGGTCAGAAGAGTATATGGTCGCTCTTTTGGCTGCTATAGTAAGAGCCATTGTTCCATGCCTTGGTGAGCAGAGGCATGTTGTCTGGGCTTTGTCTCTGTAGACATGGATAAATATGGGTCAGGGATGAGTAGCAAGATCTGTGTGACCTCTTTTCTTTGCCCTTCCTGCTTTTGGCCATTCAGTGGTTTCCCTTTTGGGAGCTCTAGATTACAGACTTCAAGAAGTCTAAACAGCAAAGCCTTTGCCCTCAGTGTTAACAGTCAGAGCAATTTCAATCATCTACTTATTTTACAGTCAGTTCTCATTTAAAATATGGGTATCCTTTGTAGATGCAGCATGTTGACACTTGTAGCTAAATCCCCCTCTGTAGTGTAATTCTCTAAATACTTCCTTTCTCTCTTAGCTGAAATACACAGTGACAGTGTGATTCTACGAGATGATTTTGACTCCTACCACCAACTGGAATTGAACCCCAATATATGGTAAGTTACAAGAATGTGTTGAATTTTGAGTTGTCAATGATGCTGATTTTGTTTAATGAAAAGTTTTTCTCCCTGGAGGGTCAATTCCTGAATATCCAACAGCTCTTAAGTACTAGTATTGGTGGGGATGGTTAACTATGGACTACACTTGTATGGTCAGCTGCTCTTGAGTACTAATGCAATGGTGAGAATGAGTAACTGTCAATGGATTACACTTGTATACCAGAAACGCCGCTTGTTTTGTTTCTTCCTTAAAATCAAATGTAGGCGTTCTTTAAATTCCTGAATGTGTTTAGACATATTTTAGTTTTATAAGATTTCCATATGTTATTCTAGTTTACTTTGCTGTTACTATGGTAAACACCAAGATCAAAAGCAACTGAAGGAAGATAGAGTTTATTTAAGCTTACACTCCCAAGTTCTTCACAGAGAGAACTTGGGGCAGGAGTCTGGAGGCAAGACCTGAAACAGAGACCATGGAAAAAGACTGCTTTCAGTCTTGCTTCCAGGCTCATGTTCAGCTGCCATATATATATATATCGAGGCCACCTGCCTAGGGATGGTACTGCCAACAGTGGACTGCCTAGGGATGGTACTGCCAACAGTGGGCTGCCTAGGGATGGTACTGCCAACAGTAGACTGCCTAAGGATGATACTGCCAACAGTGAGCTGCCTAGGGATAGTACTGTCAACAGTGGGCTGCCTAGGGATGGTACTGCCAACAGTGAGCTAGACTCTTGTATACCAATTAGTAATCAAAAATGCTGCACAGATCAATCTGATGGAGGCAGTTCTTCAACTAAGGTTCTCTCTTTCCAGCAGTGTAAAACTGACAAGATTAGCCATCACATATCTAAAATCATCATGCTACAATGTATCTAATAGTTAGTGGTAAGTGGAAAGGAGAAATGTCTTATCCAAAGTGATAGATGACTTCATTGTAACTTGACATAGTTTCTCACATAAGCTTGACTTCATTAGTTGTACTACAGGCTTTCTTTAGAAACCTTTTAAGTATAAATTCCATGGGATTTTGAGGACAAAGAAATAAACTTAGGTCAGAAACTTTTGTGTATAGTTTGATATCTAAACTTGTTGGCCATGTGTTGCATTTTTGCTGACCATAGAATAGGTCTGTCAGTCCACAGTTATTTGGAAGAGTATGTGAATTTTGGACTTTATTTAATACGGCATATGATTGAATAGATAAAAAAAAGAGTTATTAAAAAATGCTAAACTTTGAGCCTGAAATAAAAACCCAAGTAGTACTCAAGGTTGGAAAGTGAATGGCAGTTACCTTGAATGTCACCAATGATATCACTCTGCCTTGTGTTTATATTTCCTGTTTTAACAAATATTTTACACTCCAGTAACATAATCAGTTAGCATGCCATACTCACACAAATAGTTAGCAGTAATTATTTAAGTGGAATTTCTTAAAGTTACATTTCTCTAAGGCAGTTAATAATTCAGTAGTGGTGTAGAGGTCGTACAAAAGTTTTAAATCTTGGACATAAATCCTTAAATGTAATAGAGTGGGACCCAGAAGAGGGACAATGCCCCCAGCAGGGTGTTCTTAGAGAAAAAAGCCTTCAGATTGAAAGTTGAAGATGACACATAGATTTCTGGAGCTTCATTAGGGTGGAGGGTACTTTTATGTCTTTTCTAGATAGAAATATGAGCCCAAATAGTGTAAAACAGAATAAAATACTACTAACCCAGACAGACTCATAGTGCCTCCTAACTTACATAAGAAGACAGTGAATCAAAAAGAATGTTATTCTCTGGGGGAATCCAAATATAAATGTCTTGAAATAAATAGAAATTTTATTAAGAAATTTTATTAATAAAGGCAGAAATAAAGCATTTCTAAGTACCATGTTTGACCAAGAAAAGTTCTTGCTTTTCTTTTGATATTTATGTTTTTGTATTCCATTAATACAGATGTTAGCCGATGGTTGTTTGTTTCAAGGAAATCTTATTTCTGCCAAGTTAACTCAGTTTCTTCAGTTTTCTTGACAGATATAAAATGTGACTTTTATGTGATTCAAAAATCATTGGTTTTTTTTAAATCAATGAAATGTGATTGATTTTACTTCAACCATTTTCATGATTGATTGGGTATGATCTTTCCTGGCCAAGATTATGGATTTTATGTCACTTTTACTTAAGCTATGATTTTTCCACTCTTTTGGACACCTCTCCCTTTTTAGCCTTTGAGAACCATGTACTTGTACTATATGTGCTTCTGAATGAGCTTGCTTCTACTTGATGGCCACAACCCTCCTCTCCTCATTCATTCATTCATTCATTCATTCATTCATTCATTCCCTCCTTTTTCCTTTTCTTCCTTCCTTCCTTCTGTTCTTTCTTTCTTAAAAACAAAACAAAACAAAAAATCATAGACGATGGCAGTCCTATTTGAGAAGACATTGAGAAGTTAAGCTAGAAATGGTACAGTCTCTGCTATCAGGCCAGTCTGGTTTAACTTCTGAGCATACAGCTTGCTAACTGGGCACCCTGGGAAATCTAAAGAGCTCCCTTCTTTCCATGATCTCCATTTTTTGCAGCAAAAAATGAAGCATTGAGAAATAAGGGAGCATGACAGAGGCTGCTACGGAGGACAAGAGTTCATCAGAATCCATTCTTCCCCCAGTCTATCTCTCTCCCTCTTTCCCTTCTTTCTCCCTTCCTCCTTCCTTCCTTCTTACCTCTCCCTTCATCTTGTTTTTTCCTAGCTATTCTTCCTCTAAGCCATCTGTAGTATTCTCCCCTCTCCACATTTCTCCCTTCCTTTCTGTGAATGTATTTATACAATGGACTATGTTTCTTCTAAACTCTGACATGAGTCTTCAAAATAATCTTAATCCATTTACTGGAGTCCTTGAGTCTTATTTATCACATTTGCATGGAAAACAAACATCAAATTAAATATATCTGCATTGCATTCTCTATGAATGAATGGAAACAGAATAGTAACAGAACCACAGGAAGGACAAAGAGCATCATCAGGGCTGGGAGCCCTTAAACGTAAGTTCTATAAACTCAGAACTCATACCCAGTAAAATCAGATTTTCTAGTTTAGTAGTATGTGCATATATACATATGTGTTTGTGCACATGTTTATACATGTAATGAGAGTGTACGTGTGTGCAGAGGTCAGGACAACCATGAGTGTTGGTCCTGGCTTCCCACCTTGGGTCTCTTTGTTGTTCTCTGAGGAGTGTACTAGAGTATGTCGCCTGTGAGCTTCAGCAGGTTCTCCTAGTTCCTCATATCTTAATGCAGGAGCATTAGGATTGCAGCTGTGCACCACTGGGAATTTGAACTCAGGTCCTCATGCTTGCTTCACAAGTGCTTTATCCACTGAGCCATCTCTCCAGTGCCCACAGTCTAATATTTTTAGGAAAGTGGCAAAGCTTCACCTTGCTTTGAAGCCTTCTGGATAGTTTTCACTGTCCTGAAATCTGTCTTCTTGGTGCATATATGTCTCAAATGAGACCCTTGTCCTTTGTAATATTGTCTTTGAATCTCTTTATGCCACAAAAATAAAAGCCTGCTGGAAGCCTGGTGACAGCATGGAAGGATCATCTTGCCTGCTACCTCTGTCTCTGTGCCCATGCCACAGGACAGCAGAGAGGAGCCCAGTGCAGGATGTGGCACTTTACCAACATTCCCACCGTGAAATGCCTCACCAGATAACTGCCTGAAGAGGAACATGTGGTCCTCACGTGTGTCCTCCTACACTGTTCTAGCAGTTTCATGAACATTGTGCAGTTCATAATTCCTATGTACAACCAGAAAATTCAGAAATAAGCTACAGTTGCAACTTTATTACTTGTGTGTACAATCAATGGAGGAGAAATGCAGGAACCACAGTGAGGGCTGCTTAACCTCAGGTCCATTTTAAAGCTCACCATTCACTTATTTTCTACTAATTTCTCCTAATGTCCATTTTGACTCCATTTCATGCAGTTTTTACTGTCTTCTTTGTTGTCTTATTACAGATAATTACACATGAAATAGGATAAAAAGTGATATTCCTATTATGAACAAAGGGACAGGGCTGTGGCTCTGCCAGGTTTTTGATGGCCATGGTATAGAATCAAGAAACTTGTGCATGAATGTATTAGTGAGTGAAGTGCATACTAAACAACAGAGATTTAGACTGATTTTAAATGTGATCTTTTTATTTTGTGAGATCAATGAATAAAATAATATAAACAGCAATAAGTCCTTTCCCTTTGTAGTTAGAGCTACTGACTATGACAATAGTTTCTCTGTCCTAGAAATTATTTATACAAACACAGTGTAATTATGAATCTCAGTCTCAAACTTAGATATTAGACTGGAAAAGCTTTCTTTATTATTGTGTAGACATCTATTTATCTCTTTGCCCATTAAGCCTTAATTTCATACAGTTAAGTGTTAGGAGTCATATTAGAAGAATGGCAGGTGATAAATAGGGATGGCCCTCTGGTGTCCCAACATGTTTCTGTATGCGCCCACCAAGTCCTCCATGGTCAGCTCTAGTCTTTGGTGACTCCTGAGCAGTCACTGCTTCTATTCCTGCATAAGGGCTTCGAAACTCCCCTTACCAGGGAAAAGGAGGGAAGGGGTGTATCTCCAAGACACCTCCTATACTACAGGCAGCTGTTGTCCTTCCCCTAGGGTGCACTCTTCTTTGTCCCTGGACCCTCTCACAGCCTTTTATCTCTCCTCTCTCCCACCCACTTCTGGTTGTTTTGTTTGAGAGTTGACTTAGGAGTGAACAGAGCAAGCAGGCAGATTGAGGGGTGGGTCAGACTTGAGAAAGACTTAGTTTCTCTCTGCCTGGATGGTGGGCCACATGCAGGCCTACCTCTGAATGACAGCAATAACGTCAGCAATTTGCAAGTGTCACTGAACTCAGAGGTGGAAGATATACATATACATATACATATACATA